TATGTCAGATAGCCAAGCCAGGCTTCATGCAATCATGGATGCAGCCAAATTAGCATTTGTGATTGGTTGTTGTAGTCTGGGGTTGTACACAGAGAACAATTCAGGTCAGGACATGGAGTTTATAATATTTTTATAATGGTCACTGAAAGTTAACACAGGAGAATGCAGGAAATCTATCCACAACACCAACGACATCGATTATTTAAGTCAAGAGCCTAATCCCCACGGCAATGTCCCACATGAGTCCAGATAAAAACCCAGAGCTCAGAACAACACCTCCATGAGTCCAACTGGAAGTCCAGAGCCCACAAGAACTCACGCCAGTCTCTTTTACGGATTCGTGCCGGGAAGACCCAAGGGTCAGCGGTGGAAGCCAGAAAGTCCATGCCAGCAGGATGAAGGAGCTGTGCTAGTGGGATGAGGGTTCTACACTGGAGCTGAGAAGTCACACTCACAACAAAGAGCGGGGCTGTCCTGAAAGGAACCACAGCTGTCCTCAGTGACACGGAGGCCCCGAGCTCCTCCGACAAGCACAGTCGGGAACGTGCCAGGAAGCAGCGTGACGAGTTCACCCTGGAGACCAGGCAGCACATGTCTTCCCCTCCGGAGCCAGGAAGCAATGCTTGATGTGAAGACCAAAGCTTCTCCAGGAGAACCAACAGCTCAGACAGTAACTCGTAGGAGAACCAACAGTGCCTCCATAACGCCTCCATCCCTCTCTACACCTCTCTTCTTCTCCACCTATTTATCCTGGCAACCCTCCTCAGGTGGAGCATCTTCTCTCAATACATGCTGATGTAATCCAGCTGGTGTTAAGTTGACCACTAGCTATCGAACCATAACATTGGTTCATTGTCTAGTGCTTGGATTGGTGATATAAGTGCTACACTCACCCTGGGGTGAAGTTAGCATACAGTGTAATGGCAGGAAGATGGCAGGTCTCTCTCTTTTGCTGTCCATGCTTGCTGTTTGCAGCCACCATGAACTGCTGGCCGTCAGCCATGTCATTTTGCCTTGGAGCCAACTGAGTATGGACTGAAACCTGTAAGAAATAAACCTTCCTTTCCCTAACTATGGTCATCATGTATTTTGTCTCAACAAGGACAGAAAAGTAACCAAGGCAGAAGAGATGGTAAGGTCTCAGATATAATGTATTTAACTACTGGTGTGTTAATGCACTGTTTTATAGTGCATTGCTATCACAAATTACAATTAATAATGTGAGCTCACATGAAATAAAATGGGTAATGGAATAAACAATTATATACCTGAAATGAACAAAGATCTATTTTTCCTCCAGGACAGTATTAACTCTCCTGACCTGTTTTATAAGTTAGAAGTTTACAGAAAAACTTCATTGGTTCACTCCACTGGCAATCTCAGGCAGAAGCATGTTTCTCTCCAGGGTTAAAAGATAAGCCTCCTACAAATGTAGATGTGAAGTGCCCTGGAACATAGGTTCTACATTTGTAGGAGTTTATTCAGGGGCCTACAGAGGCATCCCTTTCAAAGATGACAATCAATTGCCTCTTCAGTGTTCTTTCATTAAGAATAAAACATGATCGTGAGAAATAATCTTTCATTTCTGGGAGCAGCATAATCCTTGGCATGACACACATAAGGCTGTTTATTTCTATCAAGGTTTGGAGCAAGAAAAAGCTTGGTAGCAGGTTCACCCTTCACTAAAAGCATCCCTGAAGCTTAGGACATGCCATCTGGCAGACCCTGAGGGTTTGAGGTGTCTATAAGACACCACAGAGCTTATGGAACTAACACACCTCTGCTGCCTAGTGCCTCATGGTTCTTTTAGATGATTCTGATGGAAATCATGAAGCAGTAAAGTGCAGCTCTGCTAGCTGGCAGTGATGTCACCAGATGACACTATAACGCTGGATGCCAACACCTGACCAAACTGGTGACTGATTGATGCTATCATTCTTTGGTGACTTGTGCAAGACACCATAAATTGACCCCACTAGGTGCTGGTCTTTGCTATTGCCACTCACTGCCATCCAGTGCCAGTTTGTGGTCAACTGCCAGGAGATGGTCTCTGAGGGTGATCTTCATTTGCTGGTCCCTGGAGCTCTACATTCATAACAGCTCTGAATTTTTGTTTATTTCTCTTTTGAGATGATTGTTCTGTCCATTCTATTTAGGTTAAGAACCCTAGGGCTTACAGGACTTCAGAGACCAAAGTACATGACAAACAAATCACAAGTTTGTAGGATCATGGAAATAAGTCTATTTCAAAAAGGCCTGTGCTGCAGCATAGAAGGGAACCCTCCAGATAGTATGAGAGCAATACTGACCATATAGCAACTGAAGGCCTGATTGGTCCAAGTAGGTGTAGGGATTCAGAACAGCTGCAGCTGTCATGGTGGGAATAATATGGTGAGACTGAAACCAGAGAATATTCTGGGCAGCTGAGAGGGAGAGGCATTATAGAGTCCAGATCCCTCCTTCCCTGATTTTGGCCATGCCAGGGTATTCTTTCCCTTTGTCAAAAAGGCAATGGTGGGGCTGGAGGTTTAGCACAGTGGTGTAAGTGCCTGCTTTGCAAGCAGGCAGTCATGAGTTCGATCCCTGGTCCCGATAAAAAGGAAAAAGGCAAAAAAAAAAAAAAAAAAAAAAAAAAAAAGGCAATGGCAGCACCTGAAGTGGCAGGAGGCAGGGAGGGGCACCTTGACAACGGAGTTGTACTTATGTTGGTGTAAACCAGAGGTGCATGGTCACTAGATGGTCAAGGAGGCCTTAAAGCAAGTTGTTCCAGTTCGTGGCTAGGTAGGGGATGGATAACAGTCTTTAGCCAAGCAACAACCTCCCAACTTTGGCGGCATTAGAAAAACAGGAGTCAGTCACATCTTTCTCACCTCAGTTTTGCTGGAAGATTATCTTGTGGTAAATAATCATTTTGTCCATCTGTCTTTGTTACCATGACAATGCTTGAGCCCAGTAAATTATAAAGAAAAGAGGTTTGTCCTCCTCTGGAGGACCGTGCTTATGACAGTTCAAGTCCCTGGTGGGGCAGCTCTAACTAGTGAGAGTTCACAGTGAGTTATACCATGGTAGAAAACAGCAGGGGGGCAATCAGGTTTATGTGGAAGGGAAGCATGAGAGAGGAGGAGGAGGAACCAGAGGTGTCAGCTCCCTTTATACTATCCCACCCCAGTAGTCACAATCCAGTCCTGCAAGAACAAGAACTTATTCCTAGAGAAAAGCACTAATTTCTCGTAGCAGCAACACCTCTTGAAGGCCCCAACATTGTTCCACAATGCTGCAATGCGGACCAAACCTCACGAATTTTGATGGAAACAAACATGTTCAGACCATAGCACATGTGGCTCTTGAAAGATGTATGGTATATTGTTGGGTCCTTGTAAATGTGAAATGCCCAGTTACAGTGCACCAGAACTTCCCATGGAAGGCTGGGTCATGTTGGGCCCACAAGACAAACTTGGGCAATGAAAAGTAATTATGCATCATAGAATGTAAGAAATACGTCCAGGATCAAGTAGGACAAGTATTTAGGCTAGCCAAATAGGCTGTGTGAGGAACATACCTCTGTACAAGCATTCCTCTAATAGCTTCTTACCTACAGCTATCAGAGAGAGACTACAACCAGCCTAAAGAAGAGGGAAAAGCCCAAGTTCTATTAGAATTGAATCAGCTCAGCATTAGTACTGGACATTATATCCCAAATAACATTCTACAGGATACAAAATTATGCTTACAACATAAGGACTGTACTACATATACTAGGCAGTGGCTGCTGGTGCAATAGAGGTCTCTAGTAGTCTAGCAAAAGCCAGACTGAAGCCACAATTCAGGAGCAACATCCTATCATGATAGGCACCATCTTCCTGAATGGGAGAACACAAATGGGTCAAAGACCTTAACATAGTGCTATGTCCTCAAAGAACATATGGGTGTTCCCTGATCAAAGCAGCAACAGCCTCATCTATCACCACTACCAAAGACCCTCTGGAGGACCATGCTTATGACAACCCTGAATTCTGTAGGGCCAGAGGTCCAGATCCCTGAAGGAGCACATTTTTGTTGTGGGACAGAGAAGTATTCTAAATTGTTGGGTCAAGGATTTAGCTCAGTGGCACAAGTGCCTGCCTGGCAGGCTCAAGGTCATGAGTTCAATCCCCAGTATGGGAAAAAAAAAACCCACTAAAGTATAAGCTACAACATGGAAACTCTGTGCCCCTGTGTGGAGACCAGCATACCAGAAAAAGACTTGGTCTTCTGGGGTATTTGACATGGATCCTTAGGAGGTAGAGCTGTTGATAAACAGAGCAGGAACAGAGGAGGAACTCAGTTGGTCTCCTGGTTTATACTTCCGTGTAAAAATGTGATAGAAAATGGGCAGACATAGCAACTTGGGTGTGAGAAGGAATTGATGACGGGAGCGCAAACCCTCTTGGGACACCACTCCATCAGCCAGGGGTGCCAGCAGAGGTGCTGATTAAGTGTGAGAATTCAGATGATAACAGGAGAAACAGCACAACTCCAGTGGAAAAGTGAAGGAAAAGCGGGGAGAAGTGAGGGTGAAGCTATAGCTCAAACGACTCATTTCTTTGGTCTCTGCTCACTAAAAAAGGCATCAGCAGCTTTTGAATAATTAAGAAAAGGTGTGTGTAATACCAGAGATGCGGCATCCAAGTCCTTCCTCAGGGAATCCTTTGCTGCCCAGTGGCAGAGGGAGCTGTCAGCAGTCTCAACGGCTGGCTGTCCCAGTTTACCAACGATGTTAACTCACTCCCAAGGCAGCCCGCATCCTGGCTGACAAGGGATAGTCTCATGAGCAATTTGCTCCAGAGCTCCTCTGGCTTGGAATAGCCTAGTGCGATCTCACTTCTTCTACTTAATTCTTTCCTATTCATTTGTACTTGTTGCTTTCAATACATACCTAGCACTCTGAGAAACCAGAGAACCCAACTTGGCAGCCTGATTCTTCTTAGTAGGAATACTCAGGTTGTAAGTAACAAACACAATTTAAGAAAGCTGAAACAAATGTGAGAATTTATTAGATGATATTTCAAATATCTCACAGAAGAGCTCAACAGTCCAGGAATAGAAAGGGCAGAGATAAATATGGACAGGCAGACAAGGTGAACCAGACATCAACACAAAATTAGCCCTTTCTAGACAACGATTCCATGACAGATTAACTCTTGTCACTGCAGATCATGTTTCATTCCATGGGGCTGGAAATAAAGCCACCGAAAGCACCCACATTCAAAAATACTCCCAGCTTCTAAAATTATATAGAGGCCCAGCTTCTTCTAGTATATACATAGGAGACTTCTAATAGAAAACATGCAATGATTATGTTACCATAGTGACAAACACATGTTGTCATGAACAGACTTATAGTACTGGACAAGCAGTAACAAATAACAAGGGCGTTTCACTGCAGATTTGCAAAAACATGAGATGAAACTATTGAAATCTTAAGAAACTGCAAGTAGGTCACAAAGGTGAGAAAATATTCCATAGGTGGAAACATAAGGTACTTACAAATTATCAATATGCATGACATAGAAGTCCTGGCATACAAGGAGGTTACTACATTTTAAGTGCACAATAAGTCACACAGTATTTCATCATGGAAGTGTGTGAGAAGAGTTGATAATCACTATGAAAATGAAGTAAAAACAAAGGGAAAGTACACAAAATACACTAGTAGCTACACGGATGAGCCTGTGAACACTTAGGACATGGCAGATACTGCAAATGTGAAAGACTGCTGGAACTGTATCTATAGATTAACAAGCACAGAGGAATGATGACCTGGACATATACTGATGGATAATGATTAAATCACCTAGGAGGCCTCAAGTATGTATCCAAATGTTTGCAGATCTATGTCTGCTACTCAATAAAGATACTGTTACATAAAGCTGATATTCTTCCAATTTATTTCATTTCATGATTCTAAAGTATTATTCTTGAAATCAAATTTTTAAAAACATAGATTCACAGATAACCATATCAAGGCCTCAAAGAAAACCAGAGCAGAAAGGACATTAGAGACAGGTCTCAAACTCCAGAGACTGGACCTCCAAAAATCCCCGTAACTTAGTAAATGGATTACAATGGAACCATCCTTGGTGTACAATTCCAGGGGAAACCTAGTGGGGAAAAGGAAAAGAATGCTTCCTCTATTTAGCATTCCACATGGTATGCCTTGTGGTGCTCTATGAAACCACAGGGACAAATGGTCTACAACCATCTTTTTTTCAGTGTGGAGTCTGTGGTAGAAACCCATGAGAGAAACAGACACATTCCTATAGTTTATTAAGATTATTTTAAAAACAAACACCAAAGGTTTATATTTTTAGAATCTGAGCTCCTTCAGAACAAGGTATCACTCTGGGAGCCTGAAAGCCACATGGGTTCACATGAGGTGTTAAATGATACGGACTTCTCTGTGGTCTGCATATGCACACCCTACAATTGCAACCTGACTGTTACAGGTCCTTTTTTTTGGACACTGAGTAAATATGCTAGTGCAGAGGTTCTACTGTCTCCTGAAGGCTATATTAAGGTTAACTCATTAACAGTCAATGGAGTATCCTAGAATCACAATAAGCAAAATTATGACATTCTTAGATAAGACTGTTGACCCAGTCCAATATCTAATGCCTCATTTCTGTTACTAGTAAAGAAAAATCATGATGGATGGATGGGAGAAATGAGTAGAGTCACAAAGTATAACATCATCCTGTTAATGTTTGTTCATTTACAAAGGTTTGTCACCCTTATCTGGCAAAACAACTTTCAGGTATTAAGAAGAAAAGTAGGAAGTCCACAAATTTGAGTATGAATCTAAAAATTGAGAAACTAGATGCTTTAGAAATTACTATTAAAAGAAATGAACATTACTATGAGGAAAGATAGGGTTATAAATATATGGAAATACTGGTATCTTCATTTAGAACAGTGATGAACCTTTTAGAACTTTCAGTGGTACCAGCCCACTGCAGCCTGTGTCCTGTAGGTTCACAACCATTGGTTTATTCTTATTAAGAATTCCAACTTTCCAACAAAGCTGCATGCTTGTAATTAAAGGAAAAAATACTGTTGGAATCAAAGATAAAATATATCATTTTGAAAAAATTTTTGTGCATAAGAGAAATCTTGAAAAAAAATTGTGCATAAAAGAAATCTACATTTCTAAACTTTGGAATCAAGCTTAATGTCAGATTCTTGTCAGTTTCATTACAATACAAAAATGTCAACTTCAAGCACTATCACAGAGAGAAAAACTACAAAATTCTAACTTACCTAAGAGCTGCTTCATGTCTTTTAAAAGGAAAACTAACAGTAAAACAGTAGTAGGTTGCCAGCCAGTTTTCCACTTGGCTGAGGCAACAAGTAAAAGATGGTAAAACAAATATTCTTTCAAAGAAAGAAAAAGGGGAATTGTATTTCCTAACACTTGTCAGTAACCCCAAAAATACAGAAAGGCAAAACACATCCCTGAATATGTCAAGAATTTTCACATTTTTTGAGCAGTTCCTGGGACAAAGCCCATGACATTCTGCATGGTAGGCTAGCACTCTACCTCTGGGCTTCCCACTCCCCAGTCCAGTCATTTTTTAATCACAAAATTCTCAGTATTTCACATCTTCTGAAAAGTAACTTGTCAATAGTTGGTTTCTCCATCTCTAAGTTTTTACAAGGTATTTTATCAAACACCACAAAACAACAGCAGCACAATATATTCATGTATCATAGGAAATTGAAGTACAGTGCACTGTTGGGTATATAGCACTTAAGATATACACGCAAGACAAATGGGAAAGGCTCAACAAATGAGAGAATTAATTTTACAGCAAGACATCCTTTCATGTAGGTGAGTGCTAAGGAGAACATAGTTCACATACCCTTCTGCTCACTCAAACATCAATATTGCTACTGTGGTTCTAGTCTTTGAAAACTTAACAGAATTTCTCAGATTCTGTGAGTGTAGGAAACTAATAAATGTTCAACTCTTTACTAAACAGAGAGTAAAAACATATGCAAACAAATATTAAGGATAAAAGAATTGTGGTATTATTTAATCTACTTATTCAGCAACTGGTTATGAGTTTTTCTTTTCATATAATTAAAGTAGAAACAGTAGAGATAGACAATATGTCTTGACTTACCAAAAGACACTATAAGGCATACACATTTCATGCTCCCAATTACACTGTTTCAAGATTTTTTTTTTTTTTTGGTCTTTTTCGTTTCTATCGGTACCAACAATTACACTGTTTCAACTGCAAAGTGAAATCAAAATATGTAATATGTTACAATGGAAAATAAATCACAAACACTAATAGGAATTTTCTTCTTTGGATTTTTCAATGATTCAATTTATTCATGTTTTAAAACTTCACATTTCAGAGTGAACACTCATTAGCCATTTGGAATTGAGATTGAACTCATGTCTATAAGAAGAGTATTGAGTCACAATAGTTTATGCCTGTAACCCAAGCACTCAAGAGGATGAGTCAGGAGGAATGCTGTGAGTTCGAGGTCATCCTGGATGACATAGTTGATAAAAGGCCAGTTTGAACTACATAGTAACGCTTCACCTCAAAAAGACAAACCTGTATTGCTTACCCTCGTAGCATTGTTTCTACAAATAAACCGTTCCAATATGTTTGTTAGGTTTACCGGCAATATGAACTTTCCAAAATGCAGTGCAGTTAGGTCACTTAATGAAGATTCTTCCACATTTAATTTTTTCATATAATTTCATTCCTCAGGTCATTTTCTAAAGAACAATGAGCTGTCATTTCTGAATAAAAGTATAGCACACTAGCTATGCCGTGGGAAAATTTCTAATGGCTAATGAGACTGAACTCTGAAAACTTTTCTGACACAGGGTTCCTCCTTGATCTGTCCAAGAAATAAGGCTCAACTGCTTTGGAAGGTTCCTGAGACCCACTGCACTCACAGGATCTCTCTCTTCCATGCATTCTGATAGGAAAGTATGCTTGCCTACAGAAATGTGCCCTCCAACACTTCATTTAAATAATCTTAAGGTACAGTCTGACATACAACAGGATATTGACTATTATGACAAGATTTACCATAACTGCATTTTCTGAAGCAAATGAGGTGTACGTGTTAGGCTCACTTATGAACTCCTAGGACTTTGGTCCTGTGTGAGTTCTATGGTGGTTAATGAGCTGTGACTTCTGGGAAAATGCCCTCCCACACTCACTGCACTGATAAGGTTTCTCTCCTGTGTGAATCCTTTGATGGTTCACAAGTTGTGACTTTTGCGAGAAGGCTTTCCTACACTCACCGCAGCCATAAGGCCTCTCACCTGTGTGTGTCCTTTGATGCGGAATGAGGTGTGACTTCCGAGAGAAGGCTTTGCCACACTCCCTACATTTGAAGGGTTTCTCTCCTGTGTGTATTCTTCGATGGTTGATGAGACTTGACTTCTCTCTGAAGGCTTTTCTGCACTCACTGCATTCATAAGGTTTTTCTCCTGTATGAGTTCTCTGATGTCTAATTAACTCTGATTTCTCAAAGAAGGCCTTCCTACAAAGACTGCACTCATAGGGTTTCTCTCCAGTGTGAATCCTCCGATGAGTGTTTAACTGTGACTTCTGGGAAAAGGCTCTGTCACAGTCCCTGCATTCATAGGGTTTTTCTCCCGTGTGAGTCCTCTGATGAGTTGCTAGACTTGACTTCTCACCAAACGCTTTCCCACATTCAGTGCATTCATATGGTTTCTCTCCCGTGTGAGTCCTCTGATGAGATATGAGATGAGACTTCTGACAAAAAGCTTTCTCACATTCACTGCACACATAGGGTTTTTCTCCTGTATGAATTCTCTGATGATTAGTAAGACTTAACTTTTCACTGAAGGCTTTCCCACATTCACTGCACTCATAGGGTTTTTCCCCTGTGTGAGTTCTCTGATGTCTAACAAGCTGGGACTTTCTGCTAAAGGCCTTTCCACATTTACTGCATACAAAAGGCTTCTCTCCTGTGTGTGTCATCTGATGGGATATGAGGTGCGACTTCTGGGAGAACGCTTTCCCACACTGCAGACATTCATGGGGCTTCTCTCCCGTGTGGGTTCTCTGATGATTGATGAGGCTTGATCTCTCTCTGAAAGCTTTCCCACATTCCCTGCATTCATAAGGTTTCTCTCCAGTGTGAATTGTCTGATGCCTAATGAGTTCTGATTTCTCAAAGAAGGCTTTTCTGCAATCACTACATCCATAGGGCTTTGTTCCTGTGTGAGTCCTGTGATGTGTCACAAGCTGTGACTTCCTGCTAAAGGCTCGCCCACATTCCCTGCATCCAAATGGTTTCTCTCCTGTATGAATTCTCTGATGATTAATGAGATTTGACTTTTCACTGAAGGCTCTCCCACAATCACTGCATCCATAAGGCTTCTCTCCAGTGTGTGTCCTCCAATGTGATATGAGATGTGACTTCCGGGAAAATGCTTTACCACACTTACCACACTCATAGGGCTTCTCTCCTGTGTGTGTCCTCTGATGGGATGTGAGCTGTGACTTTTGAGAGAAGGCTTTCCCACACTGGCCACAGTCATAAGGTTTCTCTCCGGTATGAGTTCTGTGGTGTGTGATGAATTGTGACTTTTGGGGAAAGGTTTTCCCACATTTACCACAGCCATAAGCTATTTCTCTTATGTGTCTGCTTTGATGTTTAATGAGGCTTGATTTCTTGCTGAAACGTTTTCTACATTCACTGCATTCATAGAGTTTCTCCCCTAGACGAGTTCGGTGATAAATGACAATCTGGGATTTCTTATAGTTAATACTATCACATTTATCACACTGATAGTATTTTAACCAAGTATCCGCTTCCTGAGGCTTGGTATTGAGAAATAATTTATTGAATACATTAAAGTCATCTGACTCTCTTCTTTCACAGTCTGCTTCTGGGATAAGCAAATTTAAATTATCTTCCAAAATCAACCCATGTAAGTCACCTTCATTGTTTGATTTTCTTAAAGGAACAAAATCCACACTGAGAGTGAAATTTTTTCCAAGTGCATCCCATTCATGACATCTTTTCAAACTTCTAGGCTGGTCTTGGCTGTCCTGTTGCCATGTCACGTGATCCTCTACTTGCCAGACTTCTATAATGGAAACAGAAAACCTATTTGGCTGTGGTTCATGGAAAAAAACACTACAAATGCCATGTTGAGGATGTGACTGCTTGTTAGGGATTAGCTTCTGAGCAGAAAATAAATCAAGTATCTTCCACATATTGAAAACAAGCAGAAACTTGGCTGTGGGTAAATCTTGTCAGACTGTTAACAAACACTTATCAAAGGATATAAAACTGCATAATGAGCAATGAGGAGTACAAGAAGGAGGCAGGAGGCGGCACTGGTCCAAGGTTCTAGGATGTTCTAACCCAGCATCAACCAGGCACACAGACACTCCAGGAAACACAACTACTGCAGAAAACAGGAAAGAACTTATATTTCAGTGGAGAAGACTGAGAACAGAATATTCATAAAAAAATAAGAAAAAGCGACATTACAGTAAGGACTAGGGAGAAAATGAACAGACTGGACAGACTAAAACCACTTCAAGTTTGAAGGATAACAAGCATTTGTGTATTTTTGTCATGCTTAGGTTATATGAAAGTTTTATTTAAACTGGATCCTATGCATCTCCAACATCTATTACCAAGAAAGCACTTACTTCATGCAACACACTATCAAAATATATTCTCTGTCACGGTAACTGTCCGGGCATAGAATTTCTAAATCCAGGTGAGCACTCACTGAAAGGACCCAAGACCCAAGTTCCCATGGGGTAGAGCAGATATGGTCATTTCTCATCCATCTATTTCCACCGTCCTCACAACATAACCACTTCTTTTCATGTTATATAAGTGCTCTTCAAAAGCACTGCTTTCTAATAAAAACTAGTATTTGTGTTTTGTGAAGTCATGCAAGATAACTGGTATGTGAGAACTTCCACAGATTTCAAGGTCCATGGAAGCAATATATTTTTGGGAAATGCTTAACTCATTGTGAGTCATAAATGCCCTCATAAAGGTACAATCAGCAAGACTTGATGATGATCTGATGTGTACAGGACATGGAAAGAAAGGAATCAAAAATGATCCCTAGGTCTGAGACTGAACAATTCAGTGGATCATGGTGTTAATTACTGAGCTGGATCAGAAAGAAGTCTAGAAGTTAAACTGAGACTCCACTAGAGATTCATTAGTCTTAGAATGTATGTAAAAGCTATGAACTTAAAAATATATATATCAAGAAATATGGGAGAACTAGGCACGGTGGCACACACCTGTAATCCTAGCACTCAGAAGGCTGAGGCAAAAGGACTGTTCCAAGTTCAAGACCAGGCTACTGAGGCTGAGGCAAAAAAAATTCACATCTTCAAAGGCAGCTTGGGAAATTTAGTGAAGTCCTGTCTCAAAATTTAAAGAAAGAGTGTATGGGGGCACTTAGGGATGTAGCCCAGGTAGTGGTAGAATGTTCATGGGTTCAATAACTAGTACTGTGAGAGACACAAAGAGAGCGTGAGACAGACAAAGGAAGAAAGAAAGAGGGATAAAAAGAAAGGAAATAAAGAGAAAACAAGATGAGTTTGCCGTATGCTTGGTCATCTTTGACCTACCCCAATACCTGTCTTCCTTACTGTCTTCATTACTCTTCTTACTATAGTCTAATCTATCATATCACGTAAATTATCTTTTTTTATTCTTTTGTCGTCCGAGGGATTGAACCCGGGTCCTTCATACTGAGCTATATCCTTGGATTCTTTCTTTTCAGTACACAGTCTCACTAAACTTCTAAATTCCCAAGCTGGGCTCCAACTACCAATCCTCCTGCCTCACTGCCCTAGAGTGCTGAAATCACAGATACATGACATCATGCCCAGCCTAAATAGATGACACACCCTTCTAATTAGTTTACTGGCTTCCATTAAATGTTATACTCTGTATCAGAACTTTTAAAAGTACAAACCAGAAATTCTGCTTTTATTTAAATTACTTCAAGTAATCCTAACCATTTCTGTTGCCTACAAGTAGAGATACAATCAGTTCCTGCCCTCTACCTTTTCTTGGGCTCCCTCTATTAATTTGTGTTGGGCATCACATCTGTGATGAGCTCCTCTGGGCAGACACTCAGACAGGTGTCACAATGCCTCACTGCAGGAGCATGAGAAGCTGCTACACTGGTTCTTCTAAATAGTCTGGGCCGCTCCTATAATACAGCTGAGTGACCTCACTGGTGAGTGGAAATAAATCCATAGCCACAACAACATCTACATGCTGAATCCCAGAAATTCTTCTTGTCACACTTTGGATATGAGGATGATCTTGGGGACCTGACATACATACAATTCCAGTTTGTGTAACTAATTCTGACTTTGTACTTCTTTGCATGCTTTGCAATGAAACATGAATGCTCAACAAGTTTAAAACTACATGTATATCATTTTACTCAATCAGCTTTTGGTATCAGACCTGTGACAGCAAAAGCCAGAGAAAAATCCTCAGGTAACATGATGCATGCCATTGGCTATAAAAATCTTTGCTTAAAAAACTGCTGCAGAGAAAAACTGCAAAAAAAAAAAATACTATATGCTCCATAAATAAAGCACAGATGTGAAATCCTAAGTCTTTGCATCTGTGTGTGCAAATAAAGCTCAGGGAAAACCAACTAAAAATATTATAAACAGTGTGATCAGGTCTGGGATGAAACTTAAGAAAAGTGGGAGAACAATTAGGGCGGAGTGTTCAAGGAATAGCTCATGAGGAGTATCTTCATAGCACATAGAGCACAATCAGAAGGTTAGGCAGAGAAAAAATGTTAAATGTTTGAAAACAATAAGAAATTTTTAAACGCAGGCATCTGTCTTTCCTACCTTTAGTAGGCTGCATGCAGCAACACTGGCCATCCTGAGAATTTGCCGTACCCCAACCTAGGATAGGTGATGGGGATAAATCCCAGGAGGATAAAGGCAAGAATGTCCTCCCACAGTGCCTTAGAGAGCTCTCAGCAGCACTGAGTCCCCATGGCCCACAGCAATGCAATCTAGTCCCAATTTTCCCAATGTACTTTCAGGAACTACATCCCAGTAAGTTTCTGCACTCAGAAATATGTCCAGGATCTGTTTCTGAAGGAACCTGGAGTAAATCAGTATAAGGATTTACTTGGTTTAAGAAATCAGTGTGTGTTGGACAATTTAGAAAATCAACTATGGTGCATATTGTTTAACTTATGAAAGATTAGAATCTAACAAGTCCTGAGAAACTTAAGAAATGAGAAATCATGGACATAGTTTTCTGGGCTTTTTTTTTTTTTTTTTTTTTTGAGACAGTGGGGATGAGAGGGTCATATATAGTTCAAGCAGGCCTTGAACTCACTGTGTAGCCCAGGCTGGCCTCAAACTCATGACAAACCTCCTGCCTCAGCCTCCTTAATGTTGGAATTACAGGCATGTGCTACCAGAAAGAACAGTAGTAACAGATTACTCTTACACTTCAATGTGTCTAAACTATGGAAAAACAGCAGAACCTAGATTAAAAGGAATGGTATCTGAGAGAAATGATGGTTTCATTTTCTGTTATAGAGAGAATGAACACAAAGGCTTTGCACGGTGTTCCTAATTTGAAGAAAAACTAGAATCCCAGCATTTACAAGTAGGGATGTCTTTGACCCACGGGAAGGAGATCAAACAGGAAGCCCAACACTAGAAAAATTCTCAGGCAGACATATTTCGTTTTAAACTAAAGACGATTTTATTCATCTTTATTCGTTTAAATAAAAGACAACTAAAATTGATTTACCTGAGTAGCTGATGTCAACTGCTCTGAATCAGCACAACGGTTTAAAGATTCTGAAAAGAGATCCTAAGGCACATTTCACAGACAACACTCATCACTGCCCAGCAGAGATCAGGCCTTTTTGTCTTCCATCCGCCTGACTCTCCCACACTCACCTGAACAGTTTGAATGTTGAACTTCATCTCTGCTCCAAGGTTCTTCACCTTGCTCCAACTTGAAGATGACATCTGGTTTCATAACTATATACCCTGTTTGGGGAAAAAATCACGTAAGCTGTGGACATAAATACACAGGCTTTAGGGCCTCTAGAGGAAAAGCAAGGTTTGGCCTCAGAGTCCACTGAACAAAGCTAGGTCACAATATAACAAATAACTTGAGTCAGGATAATGGCTTCCTAATAGCCAACAAGGCCTAGAAGTCTTTAATTTCTATGATTTAAGTCCCAAACCATCCAACACTTCAAAACTCTGAAGCCAAGCTCCCAAGTTCAGCTCCAGGATCCCCAATATTAGCTGTCATTCCTAGAAAAGTTACTTTACCTGTCTTGATTTTCACACCAGGAAAAAAGGATAATCATTGTACCTACCGTATAGAACTGTCCAAAGACTATGTAGCCTTGTGATACAGCATGTGTTATACTGTAATTCATCTGCAGTATATGCCAACACCACCACCACCACCTCCACTACTACCACATAGATTCAAAGATAACCAACAACCTACAGCTGCCATTACTGGAGGGTGAGAGCCAAATTACTTTTGTGGGTGTGGCATTGGAGACTAAACTCAGGGCTTCAAGCACAACACGCAAGTACTCAACCACTGAGTTATGCTCTCAGCCTTTTGTGTTTGAGTCAGTCTCCTGAAGTCACTCAGGCGAATTTTTCATCCTCCTCCCTTAGTCCCCTAAAGAGATGAAAGTATAGGTGTGTACAACTATGCCTGGCTCCAAATACACAAAGTATTTGAAACAGAAACTATAAAGAAATTCTCCAGTTCTAAAAAGGAAAAAAAAAAAAGCAAGAAAAAGAAACTTTCCAAGTCCAAGGAACTTTGATCTCCTAAATTTCAACCCAAGTTCACCTAAAATTTGCAGAATCCTGCAGAATTAATTCACTCAAAAAACAAAAACAAAAACACTGCCATTTGGCACAACATGGTACTCACAAGAGCCTTTCTTACCCAGCGACACAAGGCTGCTATAGTTCTCCAACATGACATCCCTATACAAGTTCTTCTGGTGTGGTTCCAGGAGCTGCCACTCCTTCTGAGTAAAGTCCACAGACAAATCGTCAAATGAGAATGACTCCTGCAAGAACACAGCTATAGTAAATCTAAAACAGCACTTACTGCATTCTAGGGAAAGACAGATCAGAGCTCAGAGCCATGCTCTTTACTGTGACCTACAAAGCACCCAGATCACTACCTCTGCTGAGTGTTGGGCGATGAAAGGCCACTGTGCATCTTTCCATTCAAACATGATTCACATAAACCAAAATGGGTGGATTGTTTTCTGTGCTACTGAGAATAGAACACAGAACCTTTGCACTGATCTGCTTCTCTAGCCCAAGTCAGGTTGGGCTTTAATTTGCAATCCTCTTGCTTCAGCCTCCTCCTGTGCTTGGATTATAAGTGTGTGACACCACACCCAGCCATGACCATTTATTGTGGTACTGGTTGATTAAACCCAGGCTCTCACGCATGCTAGGCCTAGAATAGGTGACTAAATTCCTTGAACCATCACCAAAATATTTTCCTAATTCACATTTGCCAATAAATAACAAGGAGACAACAAAAGCATATTCAAAAACTGCTTATCATAAAAAGACTACATATTACATGAATTCATTTACATGCAATGTTCCAAAAAGGCAAATCATAGTAAGCAAATTAAGAGCTTCCTCAGGCAGAGCATGAGAAGAGGAACTGATTACAGTGTCACAGATTCCTACAGAGTAGTATCTTCTAAAGCCAGATTGTGCTGAGGGTTATACGATATAAATTCACTTAAAAATCACTGCATTATACATTAAATAAGTGGATCTTACTGAGGTTGTAATTACTAAAACTGATAAAAAAGATATTACTATGAATAAATTTATGTCAACATTTGACATTTTAGATGAAGTATCTATAGTCTCTGAAAACCAATGAACCCAAACTGACATAAAACTGTGAGCCAGGTGTGATGGCATATGCCTGTAATCCCAGCACTCAGGAGGCTAAGGCAGAAAGATTACTGAGGATTCAAGGCCAGCCAAGGCAACATAGTGAGTTCAAGAGCACCCAGTCTCAAAAAACAAAAAATCTGAATTGATCTGGTAACTGTTAAAGAACTGACAGTTTAAAAACTTCCTTCAAGATCTAGATGGCTTCAGTAATAAATTCTTCCAATCATTTAAGGGACAAATAAAACGATCTTACACAAATTCTTTTAGAAAAATAAAAGTACAAATCTCAATCATTTTATAAGGCCAGCAGACCCCTGATACCAAACCTGATGAGGACATAAGAAGGGAGCTTTCAGGAAAATAACAAAGACTCAAAATGCCTAACTAGCCATGCATGGTGATGCACACCTCTGATACCAGCACTCAGAAGGTTGAGACAGGAGAATCACCTCAAGCCAGTTTGAGGCCAATTTAGGCTAGATAGTGAGTTCAAAGCCAGCTTGGGATTCATAGCAAGACTGTCTCAAAAAGTAAAACAAAACAAAAACAAAGCCTGACAAAAATAGCAACATCCAAGCACATCAGAAGTCCCACCTCTTCAGATGACTTGGGAAGATCATCTGAGACAAGCAACTAAGACCAGCCTGGGGAAAATAGTAAGATCGTGTCTCAAAAATAAAACATATTAGCAAAATGATCCAGACCATATGAAAAAACATCATGGTCTAATGAAATGAGTTTTCTTTTTGTAAAGCAAGCTAAATTCAATATTCAAAAATCAACATAAACCAGGCATGGTGGTGCATGCCTGTAATCCCAGCACTCAGGAAACTGCGGCAGGAAGATCACTGAGAGTTCAAGGCCAGCCTGCACCACATAGCAAGACCTTGTCACAAAACAATACAAAACAAAACAAAACAAAAGTTTAACATAATTAACCACATAATGTAATAAAGGAGAAAAATGTGGTTATCATTTTTGTTTCAGAAAGGATCTTATCATGTAGTTCAGGCTGGCCTTGAACTCTGTAGCCCAGGCTAGCCTCAAATCCACAGCAATCATCCTGCCTCAACCTTCCCAGTGTTGGGATTATAGGTGTGAGCTACCACACTCTGCCTAATCATTTCAAGAGGTGCATAAAAGATAGGTGATAAAATGCCACTAACAGACTAGCTGTCAGAAGAAATGCAATCTGCTAACCCTAAACCACAGATCACCTACTTCAAGCTCCAGCCTGAGCGGTAAAATGATGCTGTCTGAGGTCTGAAGAATAGTATCTATTGGACTGCTTGGTAGTTACTGATATGTCTGTCCCCACGATGCCCAACACTGTAACCCTAGCTGGACACATCAAAGGCAGCTGGGAAATGACTTTTAAATTTATTTTAACTAATTTAAATTTCAAGTTCACATGCAACTAATAATAGAATCACACTGCTGTGAGGTCAAAAATGTATATGGTGTTTGTCCTAAGTTCTGAGGACCAGTCCAAGTGGCAGGAGTACCTTCTTATTCACAGCAGCCCTTCTGGGTTGATGCTAAGAAGGTGATGCTGACTGCTCCAAGTCATGTCAGAATAAGAACAATTGTACCAGGAAGACAATCCATGTGACGAGAGGGTAGAGCTTTGAGCCAGCTGATATCAGCCCAATTTCCAGGGTGGGGAGGGCCTGGAGAGTGAGTTCAGTCACACAGTTCAATCAATCATGCCTACCACTAAAGCCTAACAAAGACCCTGACACCAAGTGTTGGCAGCTTCCTGACTGGTAAACACATCACTGTATCCCAGGAACATGATGTATCCTTTTCCATGGTGACAGGACATGGAAGCTCCACATTCAGGACCCTCCCAGTCTCTTACCACTGCATCTCTTCATCTGACTGATCATATTTGTAACCTCTATAATAAAACAACTATTAAATACAGTGCTATCCTGAGTTTTCCAAATTACCTACTTCTAGTAAATTATCCAACCAGAGAAATCACAAGATTGCCCTGAATTTCTAGCCAAATGGTCCAAAGTGCAGATGACCTGGAGATCCCTAAACCTGCCTCACAACTGAAGTGTGATGCAGTCCTGTCGGGGTCTGTACCTGCAAACTGCGGTCAGCAGCACACCTGAGCTGCCATATAGCCTGGTTATTCTAGACAGAGCAGGTAAAAGCAAGTCAAGACACTCCCTAACTTTTCCTCTACCCCACATTGCCCTAGAGGTCCAGGCCAGTATATAAAACACAAGGAAAGAATGCCAATACTTAAAGAAAATGTGAAGCTGTCCAAACAGCAGGACTACGGAAAAAAACAAAAAGACCCAGAAAACTACTAGCATAATGATGGATACTATTCCTTGCTGGCACCCAGAACCAACAATCAGGCAGTCTCCTAAGGATGAGGGGCAATGTAGAACCTTCAACTTCACTAGTGAATTTTTCATACTAGTTTCGTTTCTTTGGTTTTTTGTTTTGTATGGTTTGGTTTGGGGTTTTGGTCTTTTTGTGGCAGGATTTCAGTACAGGTTGGGCTGGCCTTGAACTTACTTTGTAGCCCAGGCTGGCCTCAAACTCAGCAATCCTCCTATCTTGGCCTCCCAAGTGCTGGGATATGAGGGTATATTACCATGCTCAACTCCCATAAGCGTTTTGATACCAATATAATCTCAATACCAAAACCCACTAAAGTTCATTATAAAAAAAGAAAACAAACAGCCAGCATACACATGAACATTAATATGAAACTGTAAACTACACTGAGCAATATATAAAGAAAATATATAAACACTAACTTGGAGTTTCACCAGTACTTCAAAGTTAAGTTTAACAATTAAAATATCAATCATATTCAGACTGAAGAGAAAAACAATCTTTTATTAACAAATTAATAAAAAGAAAAATGTATGATCATCTCAACCTGATGCAGATAATGCACTGGATAACAGCGCAGCATTTGTCAATGGAGGAAAGTACATCACAAGAATCACAACAGCAAAGTCTAATTCATAGATCTTTTAAAAGATGGGTTGGATTTTTTCAAAATAAAAATGAGACATTATAAGGAAGAAATATAAAAGCATGAAAAAGAATGAATTAACAAAGTAAAAATTCAGAAGGACAGTATGGTATTGCACACCTGTAATCCTGACACTAGGGAAGATGAGGCACGAGGATTGCTACAAGTTTGAAGCCAGCCTGGGCTACAAAGCGTTCAAGTCAGCAAAACCTTGTCTCAAAAAGACAACAACAACAACAACAAAAAAAAAAAATCAGAAGGAAGAAAAAATAAAATGCTGGTATGGTAGCCCATTATTGTAGTTCCAGCTACTCCAAAAGCTTAAATAGGGGATCATCTGAGCCTATACTTTTTAAGAAAAGCTTGGCACCATAATGAGACCTTATCTCAAAAAATAAAAGTTCTGCTCTGGCATTCTACCTTTGGGTCACAATGTTTCTTTTATCACTGATAAAATGATATCACTCATTGGAAGATTTCATTCGAGGAGAAAAAAATGAATACTTAATGCTCAAGATTTATTTATTTACTATGGGCAATCAGTTTGCTTCTTTCTTCAAACTGTGCAACTCAAACATATTTCAAAAATGTGAGAACCAAGTTTGCAGCTCAAATGCAATGCAATAATCACACAGGATACTATGATTTTCATGTAGTATTTAAACTTTAAGAACTTTCTGAGGTCCTATAATTACTGTATCATTGTTCCAAATTCACCCCAATCCTGATAATCTGGTCTGACATTATTTTCCCAATTTCTTAACTTCTCATATACTTTTCTTTTTTACTGGAACATTTATTTATCTCTACTAATCCCCTGTATAATGATGAGGAAGAACAACCAACTTACTTGTAATGTGGTCATTTCTGTTGCCTGCACAAGATGATTAGCAAATATGAGATGTGCTGTATTCTGGGTCTCTTCTGCTTCTTCCCCTAAGATGTGAGGTGAGGTCTTAGCTAGGTCTTCTCCACTGTGGATGAATTTTTGGTCCCAGGAACCCCGTTCTCATCTCACGTAAGCAGGCTTACTTGTAAGAACCCAGATCTGTGGGCATAGGACAAATACCTTCAACTGGTATGTTTGCATCACACTCAAATCTTTTCCTCCCTTGCCAGGGACCTTGGAATTTATGATCATCTAAAGCCAGGGTGGACTTACTATATAATTAAAACTGGCCTTTCAGGAACAGAAGCAAGACACAATAAAATACAACCCAAATCCCTACTTCTGTAAACCGAGAAACAATTACCACAAATAATTCTATGATTTATTCCATATTTACAGTGGGCTGTATTCTATATTTAATAAGTGTTATGAAGAAAAAGTACCAAGTTTATTTTAAGCCAATTAAATTTTTCAAAGCTTATATGATTTAGGGGCTGGGGATTTAGCTCAGCGGCATAAGCGCCTGCCTTGCAAGCAGGCAGTCGTGAGTTCGATCCCTGGTACCGATAAAAATGAAAAAGACAAAAAAAAAAAAAAAAAGCTTACATGATTTGATTTAAAAGATCTGAGTTTCAGTCAACTTTTTTCCTTTATTGCCTTTTTTTTTTTCATTCAGACTGACATTCGTATTGAAAAGAAAAACAATATACTAGACACAGGCCCTTCTTATAGGACTATATCCTTGCCACCACCACTCCCCCTTTTTTTGAGAGTCTTGCTAAATTGCCCAGGCTGGGCTCAAGCTTGTCATCCACCTCCCTCAGCCTCCTATAATGCTGGAATTATAGGAATACACTACTGTACCGAGCTTTGGTTATGTGGTTTTTGGCAAAAATAAACAAAATTTCACTTTTCTGAGCATAAGATACCTACTAAAATCTATATCCTTCCTATTTTTGTTTGCCAGCTTTATCTATTTCTAAACAACTTTATCTATTTCTAAAGGAAATAAGGTTTGTTTTTTTTTTTTTTTTACCGGTACCAGGGATCGAACTCATGACCACACGCTTGCAAGGCAGGTGCTTATGCCGCTGAGTTAAATCCCCAGCCCCAGGAAATAAGATTTGAATCTTCTATATGATTATACTTGGTCAGTTCTTCCTTATAATTCTGTGGATATGTGGACTATGTACTTAGGGCCAACTTACTAAAGGATTACTTTTTCCTCTGTATGTAATGACACTCCAAACCTCAAATGCTTTCTGCCTTAAAATCTGTTTCATCTAGGATAAAGCTGGCAACATGAGCATCCTTTTAGTATTTGTCCCAAGTAGCAGCCACCATGCACCTGCACTTAAAATTAAGCTTCATTATGTTTATCTCTTAGAAGCAGCTCAGAGCTCAAATTTGTTTTTGATCCAAAGTAATAACCTGTCTTTGCCTCACAAATTCTATATACTCATAGTTATTGTGGTTACTACACCATTTACTATTCTTTTTCCTCTTTTCTTGCCTCCTAATCTTCTTTGTTTTTGTTAAAATGGTGATAATAAAGTGGACCTCAGAGTGGGATCTGGAGGGGAAAATGACATAGTTTACAGTGAGGTGACTGGTGCCTTATAACAACTGTAACAGATAGGTAATACAGCAAGTACTTTTATCATCATACACATCACAAATACTTTAACACAATAGCCATTTTACAGAGAGATAATTTGAAAACTAGTAATTTAGTGTGCCCATGATACACGGCTATTAAGAAACAAAACTGTGTTATTTCTTTTCCTGCTGTGTGCAAGGTATTTGCTAACAAAACCATTGTAATGTCCTTTGTGTATTTATACATAGACATGCACACACAACACAAATTCTAGAATTAGCTCTCATTTCCATGTACATACTCTGCCACTGATGCCAGAATAACAACAAATAAAGATCAGCCTCTCTAACCCATTATCATCTTAAAGAGTACCACTTAACCAAGTTCTTCCCTTAGAAGCCTTTTTGTGATCCAAATCTCAGTGCTATCTTAGAAACATACAGCAAGGTTTCTCCCAGTTATACAAATAACATTTTTGTAGCCTAGATTTTGATAATATCTGCACTTTAAAACAGCCAGTAGCATAATCATCATTTGAAAAATACTTAACAGTAATAATTATAAAACTAAAACACCATGGTAGATTGATAACTGGTAGTCAACTTACAATACCAGCTGAACTGAATCAGCATGGTGCTGAATGCGGATGGCCACCTGAGGACTGCTGCCAGCACAGAAAGGAGACCTGGAGAGTAGTGTTGTTGTTTGGTGCTGCTGGTGCTCCTGTTGCCATGGGTTCTCCTGGAGGAGCTTGTCGAGCTTCCTTCCTGATATGAACTTAGGGTGAGAACATCATCGGAAGAGCTAGGTATCTTGTTGCTGAGAATGACTACTGTTCACTTTGGGGAAGCTCTAGTCCTTGTGTTGAGCACTACTTCCTGGCTCTGGAGAGGAAGATGTGCACTGCTCAATCTCCAGGAGAAGGGTGGCTTCCTGATATGAACTTCGCTGTTCTCATCGTTAGAGGAGCTAGGGATCTTGTTGTCACTGAGGATAGCTGTGGTACTTTTCTGGGAAGCCCTGATCCTTATATTGAGCATTGCTTCTTGGCTCCAGTGAACCCTCAACCTACTGGCACAGATCCTTCACCCTGCTGGCACAGACTTTCTAGCTTCTACTGCTGACCTTGGGGCCTTCCTGCTGCAGATCTGTGAAACACTCTCATGAGTGATTGCCAAGGGCTCTAGGCCTCTAGTTGGATGTGTAGGAGGCACTATCATGGGCTCTAGGTCTTGAGCTGAACTCAAGCAGGATATTGCCATAGGATCCAGGCCCCTGACTGGATTCTCTAGGACTTTAGTATGTAGACAGATTTCCTGAACTTTCTTTGTATTTGACTCTTGGGATGATTATCATAAATAATACTATAAATTATGTGTCCTGTATTGTCTTGTCCTCCTTGCAATCCCTGAGTACAACAAACACTTATAACATTTTCAAATGTATACAAGGTAAATAAGAAGTCTTACTGCTAATCTCACTACCTCATATACATCTTATTACTTTAAGATAATACTTAAGAGATGCTGGAAGCTATTCTGATATAGTAAATGTGCTCAGTGGCAGATGCTATAATCCCATCATTCTGGGGCTGAGGCAGGAAGACTGAAAGTACAACCCCAACCTGGGCAACTTAATGACTAAGATCCTATCTCAAAATAAAGAACTGGGGGGCCAGGGATATAGCTTAGTAACCCAGCACCTGCCCGGCAAGTATGAGTTCCTGAGTTTGATTCCCCATATAGAATAAATACCATACCAGAATAAATAAGCTGGTAATGTAGCTCAGTATGAAGACCCTGGGTTCAATCCCTAGTATCAAGAAAAGAAAAAAACAAAAACCAAAAAAGCCAGAACTATACAGTCACTGTCTTACTTTTTCTCATTACTGAGAAAATACACTCAATGCCCCAGGTTAAAGGAGGAAAGGTCTATTTTGGCTCACAGTTTGTAGAGGTTTCAGTCTATAGTCAGCTGGCTCCAAGCCAGGCTGGTATGGCAGCATAGTACAGAGGAGAAAGAGTTCACAGAAGGCAGCAAAAGCAACCAGCAGCCCTTAAGGCAGGTAGCACTCTCATCCAGGGTGGGGCACCATAAACCTACCCAGAACTATGAAAAACCAATCAGTGTACTAATTTAGTAATCACACACCCTTGATCTCAGTATCACGCACTAGATCAAGACACCTCTGAAAAGCCCAATCCATGATGACATGACTCTTTCGAAGGAACGCCTAGACACAAGCCATAACAATCACACTGAAAAGCAAGGAGTTTTTTTCTATATGACATAAAAAAAATCTCTGCTGGGCATGGTGGCACACGCTTGTAATCCTAAGACTCTGGGAGGCTGAAGCAAGAGAATCCAAATTCAAGCCCAGCCTTGACAACTTAACTTAGCAAATTGGCAAGACTTTATGTCAAAATTTTAACATGGGTGTGAGAGATTGCTAGAGATACAGTTCACTGAGAAAGACCTGAGTTCAATCTCCACTACTTCAAAAATTGAAAGAATTATAGAAGGAGGAAAAGAAGAAGTAAAAGAAAAAATATTCTGGGGTCATAAACATGTCTAGAGCATCACCAGCTTTTTCTTTCTTTTTCATAGTGCAAAGGAGTAAACCTTGAGCGTGTACACACTACCCAAGCACTCTACTATTGAACTATATCTAAAGCTCTATAGCTTTCTTGAACACAACAATAAAAAGCTAGAAAATAGGCAGCATGGGGTGTGTACCTTTTAATTCCAGCTACTCAGGGTGCTCACGCAAGAGGATTACAAATCTAGAGATTTTTTTTTCCAGTTTTTCAAGACAGAATCTCAGTATGTAGTTCAGACTGACATTGGATTCACTATGTTGCCCAGGCTAGCCTTGAATTTGAGGTAATCCTCCTGCCTCAGCCTCCCAAGTGTTGAGAACACAGGTGTGTACCACCATCCCCAGCATGTAGGGAATTTAGCAAAACCTTGCCTCAAAAAGTCTAGAGATGTAATTCCTGGGTTTTATTCCAACTACCACCAAAACCATAAAAAAAACAACAAAAACAAGTATATACATACATATATATTACATATATATTTACATACAAATAAAACATACACAAAAGACCAAAAAGTATCTACAAATGTCATTCCATTTGTATTATTTTTTCGTTTCATCTCACAGAAGGAAAAATATGGTACTATAAACAATAAAACTTTAGCATTCAAAATATTTACTACAACAAATAGCCAAATTCACAGTATAACTCTAAAATTTCTTTTATAATCTACTTGGTGATCATCTGGGCATAACACATTCCTTTTGAGATCCTCTCTCAAAAACAAGCACCACCTCAAGGTGTTACATTTCAGTGAAAACTTGTCAAGAGGAAAGATTTATGTGGAAACAAGGGAGATTTATTGCACAGAACACCAGCGGTTGAGAATCTCAGGTGAAACAAATGTGATAAAACAATCAGCATAGTTTAAAAATATTTTTGATGCTTTTAGGTTTGTTACTAAGAACACTTATGCCTGACTTCACTAAACAACTGTTTCTGGAAGTTGAGCCCTGAGGCAAATGCCCTGGATTGTCTTCTGTTCAGGCTCACAGGGCCCCACAGCAAACAGAAACCCAAGTCCTTACCATACAATTTGGCCTATTTTAACTTTGTTGTTTTGTATTTTACCTTGGCAGGTTTCTGTACAGCACTGTAGCTCTCCTAGAAACGAGTTTTTCAATTTATCTTCAGAAGAAAAAGAAAACTTTCACTCACATCCCAATGTTCAACTTATCTTCAGATTCCACAGAATATTTGAGAAGAGCAGAGAATAAAAACATTTACTTTGTAGCTGTCAGATGTTAAACACTCTACATTTTGGTGGGGGGGGGGGGTGTCTGTAGTGAGGATTGAATCTAGGGGTAGAGACCAAGCACTCTACTATTGAACTATATCTAAAGCTCTATAGCTTTGTGAGTTTCATTCCCAGTTTTTTTGTTTTTTAATACAGGGGCTTATTAAGTTGCCCAGGTGGAACTCAAATCTCCTTCAATGCTGAGATTTACAGGTGTGCACCATCACACTGAGTTCCCTTTTTTAAAAACATACTAACACCCAGCAAAGAAAACCAGTAAAATGTAATAGATTGGGCCATTTCCAACATCTGTAACAAATTCTGGAAGTGCCATACCTGGACCCCTGGACTTATGATGTTCTCCCCAGAACCTGTGACCACATTACTTTGCAGGACTACAGTTTGGAGTGTGCAAAGGCTTCCAGTGTTCCCGTTTACATTTTGAATACAGCTGCAACACAGTTCCTTCCAGAACTGATGACTACAGGATAGTTTAAACATAAACCCAAGAGAGAAAGATGTCATTAGGAACCAGGTGAAAAAAGTCTCCAGGTGAGCTTAAACTTTAAATATTTCAAGTTAAGAAACGATAATAATAATGCAATATAATGAATGTAAGCAGCATATTCCTAATTTTTTAAAGGAAATATGAAAAGGTAAAATTCATTTAAAAACACACGTATTTTGACAAAGAGGATGGTACCAAATGCTGTGAAACCTCCTGTCACTGCATCATAAGTGACGTCTATTTTAATCTGTTCATGAAAGTGCTGCACACTAAACACATTTTAATTGTCCCAACAGGCAACAGTATAATTCTGCTTTTTAAATTAAGGCCTTAACCTACGAGAAAAAAAAAAAAAAAAGTGTCAGATCAACACCAAGTGGTTGAAACGAAGTAAAAAAGTAACATGAAATAAACTACGTTTTAACATCAAAATGCTTTCCCCATTTTCCGCATTCAGGCCTACGCTGGCTCCAGCCAGGTTTATTAGCTTTTTGGTCGCACAACCGGGAGGGAGCACGAGGCAGCTGCGCGGCCCGCGGACCCAGGAGAGCACCGAGCCCCGCTGGGCCACAACTTGCCATCCGTCACCCTGACCCGCCGCCAAGCGGTGCCTCGCAGTTCGGCCTCAGCCAGAACCTCACTGCCACCCTTGGGCAGCCCCGCAGCCAGAACCTCACTGCCACCCTTGGGCAGCCCCGCCCGCCAAACGAGAGGCGTTCGCAAACAGGCTGACCCGAACCCCAACCCGCACCCGCAACCGGACAAGCTCACCAGCGGGATGGAAGACAAAGACCCGGACAGCCGCGTGCGCGCGCGTGACAGAAGAAAGGCGCCTAGGAACTACAGCTCCCGGCGCTCCCAGAGGCGTCGCGGCCGGATGACGCGATCGGCCTGACGTCATAAACTAGCAAGTAAAGAGTGCCGGAGGAGCCCGATTCCGAGGCTGTCCTGTATTAGCGCGTGGTGTGTATAAATCGAGGCTTTTGTGGAAAGCAGGTAACAGCAAATGCGCAGAAAAAAATAAAATGAAGTTGATATGTAACTCAGATGCTGGGGGAGGAACATAAATCACCATCCTAATGAAAGAGGAGAAGGAGAGGAACCACAGACCATAGGAAATTGAAGGAAAATCCAATAATCTTTTATTTTGTTAAATGTCCCTTTTCATTTAATGTCTTTTTCATTTAGTTAGTATGACTCTTTTAAAACGGGCTCCGGGGCGCGGTGGCACACCACTGTAATCTCATCAGTCTGGGAGGCTGAGGCAGGAGTATTATAAATTCGAGGCCAAACTGGGCAATTTAGGAAGCCCTATCTGAAAATTACCAAAAGAGTGGAGGGTGTAGCTCAGTGATAGAGCTTCCCTGAGCTCCATCCCAGTACTAGGAGAGTGAAAAACAGATATTTTTTTGAGACAAAATTTTGCTTTGTTGATGCAAACTCACTGCTACCCTCCCGCGTCAGCCTCCCCAGTACTGGGATTACAGGCATGCACTACCACACATGGAATGGGTTTTTATTTGTTAATGTACAATCCACGTTATTAGGCAAAAGTTACTCATAAATCTCTTGAACATAAGATTTGCTCAGCCTCAGGAGGCTCCCTGAAACCCAAATGCATTCTTACTAACATCTACTCTAAACGAACACAGAAAAGCTGTTTTCAAGGTGCCTCCCACCAACCATTCTGAGAGAGGAGTGGTCTTTCTACAAGAATTACTTCCATGTGGGAAAATACCGTTAGCCCTGTAAAGAGAAAAAACAAGAAAAAAAAAGGAGGTGGAGTGAGAGTTGGCACTGCGCCTAAAAGGTTAACTGCTCTTTTGTGGAGACTTCAAGCAATGTGAGTCCATAACCTTGAACGAAATCACCCTTCACCAGTTTTGAGAAAAGCTCCATATGACCAAAGAAGAACCAAATAAGGAAGTGAGGAAGGAAAAGTTCCAAGGCAATTGATTAAATATCTCTCCATAGAATACTCAGGACAAGATATGTAAGAAACTGTAAGGAATACAGCAAAGAGCCTCTGCAGCTCTGTGGGGGAATAGTTAGGATCTTCCCGGTGATTTCTGTTCAGCTGCTGCTTGTTTTTTCACACACTTTAAAATTGCAATTGTTTACCAGGGAGGTGCTTGAGCCGTTGAAGTAAACCTCTGGCAGGAGGATTGTTGCGAGTTCGAGACCAGCCTGAGTTACATAGCAAGACCATGTCTCAAAAAGACAAAAAAAAAAAACCTGTAATAATTTAATTATTAGATAATTTTAAGACCTGGCATGTAATAAACACTGAATCATGTAATTTTTTAAATTTTATTTAAGGAGAAAAAAAACAGAAAAAGGGTACAAGTTATACAAAATTTCAGAAAAAATAAACAGGAAATCACTAGTTAGTTACATAGTGTCATCTTAGAAATAGTTGTTGAAGTTACAAAATTAAAGCATATAGAGGGGACTTTATAACAGTGAGACTGCAAACAGTTTTGTTCAATGATCCAACAAAACTCAGTAATATGGTTATCTATCTTAAACACTTAAATATATATGCAGTTATATCTTTTAGAGAACTTTCTTTTCCTTTCTTTTGTACAATGACAACTACACATTTTGGGTTTTATTACTCCCACAGTTCTTATTACTTTTTTTTTTTTTAAGAAAGTAAAACCAAATGTGACATACCAGGACAGAGTCAGTCAAATCAAAAGGATGGACATAATGCATAATGTAAAAACAAAATAGAAGGTGATCAACAATGGTTACCATAATGCCTCTTGTTATCTTAAAAACAGTTGCGTATATCATCAGTTATAATAAAATTGAACAAAACAGTAAAGAATAAGAACAATAAAACCAAAACATTGGAGACATTAGAGGACTACAAAAGAAGATAATAGTCAACCAGAATGGACATCACAATGAATCTTATTGTCTTCATAGTTGTTGCCTATACTTTCAAACTTGGTACTATCAAGCATAACAGAATAGAGGAAAATCAGTCAAAATAAGATGGTGAGAGCAATACAGAGTTTCAAATCAAGTTAATAGGAAATCAAAGTGGGTTACTATAATATATCCTATTTTTTATTTATTTTTCACTTAATTAAAAGGATAAAAATGAAAAAGTAGATAATAAAAAGGAGATTGAGATAAAAAGGAGGGCACAACAACAAAACAGCGCAGGTCAAAACATAGCCATTTAAGCAAAATAGTGTTTCACCACAAGATAATCTCGACATAATAGTAGTTACCATAGTGTCTCTTCCCTTAAAATCTTTGGGTATAACTTTGTATACTGTAGCATCAAACATATCAGTATTACAGGATAGTTAGAATCAACTAACAGAAAATGAACAATGGTTTCTGTATAATCTCCTTGTCTATAAAAGTTTTTGTTTATATTATCACATATAATAAAATCCAATAAGATACAACACGTTAAAACCGATGGAGACAGAAGAACAAAAGCTTGATGGGACTTCAAAATAAGAGGATATTAAATCAGCACTACCTATTATGATGTCTTGTTTTCTCCAAAATGGCTGTTCCTACCATCCAACCTTCTCTGCCTCATTTCTGTTGAGCTCTTTTTCTCTCATTAGTTGTCAGTTTGTCCTCTTCATTTCGCTTTCTGCTCCATTCATTGTGGCCGCTCTGCCACTGTTTCTGGAATCTTGGTATTTTTCATTTTTAGAATATCCTGTAGTATTCTCTGTTGAGTTGAATTGGTAGTTTCAAATTCCCCTAGTTCCTCTTTATCCTGGAAGCATCTTGTTTCTCCATTAATTTCTAGAGACAGTTGTGCAGGATATATCAATCTTGGCTGGAGGTTATTGTCTTTCAAAGCTTGAATTACTTAGCCCCATGCTCTTCGTGATTTGATGGTTTGTGCCGAGAAGTCTGCTGTAATTCTGATCGGTGTTCCCTTGTAAGTGATCTGTTTCTTGTCTTTGACAGCTTTTAATATTCTTTGCTTATATTGGATTTCTGGAATTTTGATTATTATATGCCTGGGTGTAGCTCTGTTTGGGTTGTGGGGTGGCTGGGGTCCTGTATGCCTCATATATCTGAGTATCTTTACCTTTTGCTAAATTAGGGAAATTCTCCTGGATTATTTCTGTGAATAGCTTTTGTAGTTCATTTGTTTGAGTCCCTACTTCTTCTTTTATGTTCTTAATTCTTAAGTTATAGAACCTCTTATCATCTTCTAGTCTTTGTATTATTGCTGTTTGTTTTCTTGTTATTTTTAAGAAGTTTTTCATTTCATGCTCCCACCTTACAAATCTGTCCTCCAGTTCTGATCATCTATCCTTAGTTTCTTTCAAGCTGTTATGCCAGCTTTCAATAGAGTTTTTAGTTTCTTGGTAATCTCTTGGAACCTGCTTCACGTATTCTATGTTTTCTCTATTTTCTCCATCAAACAATTCTCCCCTTTTTTTCTGTTCTTCCATTCCACCATCTGTTTTTTCTTGGGCAGTGCTTAGCATTTCTCTAACTATTCTACTTATTTCTTGCTTTATTTCATTAAATACTTCATTTTTGAACTCGCCTACAAGGCTCCAGAGATACCGCTTTATGTCTGTAGGTCCTTGTTTGATAGTGCATGTTTTCTGTCTTCATTCTCTTTTGCATTTACCTTGCTTGTATCAGTATTCTCAGGATTGGGGACTGAGGACCCTTTCTTGTTGCTCCCTTTTCCCATACTTTTTGTTACTTCCATACAAACGTATGTAGGAGGCCCAGTTTTTTTTTTTTTTCTCTTTGTCTGTTACAGTTTGTTTGAATCCGCCGGCTAGGTGTTCCTGCTCACTGCAGTGTAGTAAGGAGACACAGACCTGGGCAGCCTCTGCTGGGCCCGCCCCTCCAGGTCAACCTACTGAATGCTTCACTGCTAGGGTGCACCACCAGGCGCAGGGACCTGATTTGGGCCAGCCTCCTGGATCTTAGTCCACAGCATCACCAGGCCAAGCGCTCCCCACCACTCCCTCTTGAGAGGGGAATATGTGACTAAAGTCCCTGCAGGGCCCTGTTCCAGCTAGTCTGCTCGTTCCCAGAATGTCCTCTGTTGGAGCCTCCTAATCTATGAAAGGGTCCCCATTTCTCTCTCTCACCACACATCAAAGCAGGGCTCCCTGCTAGTCCCACTCTCAATGCCGTTTTCTGAATCATGTAAATTTTAAAATTTTTTTCCCAAATCTATTTTATTTCAAGGAAAAAAAAGAAACTAAAACTAAACTTCAAAACATGTCAATCAGGGCAACAATGGTACATAAATTGCACATTGTCATCCCCAAATCACTCACCTAGAGCACATCTTCATTCAGTTATCTGAACAATACCAGCATAAATCTTCAGTGAACTCAGAGAAATCAGAAGTATAAATATTTTTAACTATTTTCATATACATATACATATACATACACATATACATATTGTTTCACTTCTCACTCTAATGAAACAATACAGTTTACACAATGAGACATGTATGTCTCATTTATTTCGCTAATGTAGTCTCAAGTTGCATCCATTTACCTATACAAATCTACAATTTATCTTTCTTTGTGGCTGTATAGTACTCCATTGTATAAAAATACCACATCTTGGGCCAAGGATTTACCTTAGCAGCATAAGGGGCTACCTGGCAAGCACAAGGTCATGAATTCAATCCTTGGTTTAAAAAAAAAAACCACATCTTTTTAATCCATTCCTCAGTCGATGGGCATTTAGGTTGTTTCCAAGATCTGGCAATTGCAAATTGTGTTGCTATAAACATAAGTGAACATATATCACTATAGTATGGTGTTTTTAATACTTTTGGGAAGATACCAAGAAGTGCAGTA